AGCCCAGAATTCAGAGGCTGTCGTGAATGCCACTGTGGGAGCCCTGAATGGGCAGACTTGTGGGATAAAAGGTCTTTGGGGACAATTGCTGGTCAAGATCCTAGACAGATCAAGGAAGCAAAGAGGCCAAACTTTGGCTATTCATGAGGTTTTTCAGTGCTGTTGAAATCAGGGGAGTCCCTCAGCCTGAACTTCTGGAGAACGGAAGGCCTCAAAGAAGGTCCTGGTGTCAGCACGGCCACCAATGACCATTCAGAAGTGATGGGCATTTGGAAGGGGGTCCAGGAAACCATGGTTAATACCCTCTCAGCTTCAGGAAGTGAGCCACGGAGGACAGGGCCAGGAGGCACAAGGAGACAGCAGTGAGAAATAAGCACCAACCGAGGTCATAACTAGTTTTGTAACATTAATTTGTTTTTATTAAGAAGACAGATACTTTATAGTACTTCTTTCTCTTTGTAAAAATGGCATACATGAACCAATACAAAATGTGAATGGGAAGAGATGGTTATGCGTTATCTTACACTGTAACATCATCCATGGACACCTTAAACAGAATCGGCCTAAGGGGGCAAAATGAAAACAGGTCAAAGGGCGAGTCAAGAACAAGCTTATTTGGCATTAACTACGCACCCTTCATTTTCCTCCTCAACTTTCCCTTTTGTTTTGTCTTAAGAAAAAGGAAAAGGGGGAAAAAATAAAACCACATCCGAATGACCAAAGCCCAAGAAACAAGTTTGTTCTTTCTCAACTCCTAACTCTTTGAATCTAAGCCTGCACAAATCAATAGCTAACAATACATTTCAAACAGTGCACAGTACACTTGCAGGAACAACCCCCCTCCCCCTCCTCCTCCTCAAGAGAGCCTCCTTTCCAGGCGATGGAGGACCACCACCCACCCCTCCCTGGTGGGGTTGCTCCTTGCGGTCTCTTCCAAGGTGTGGGATCCAAAAAGTTCGCAATCTACCTGAGACGGAAACACCAATCAAAACACGTGAACCTGAGACATCTCAACAGTATTAAGTCAAAGTTACATCGGGAACACGGCACTACTGTACACTTTCCAAAACAAAGATGAGCCGCTCAGCGAAGAGGATGTGCCAGTTCTGGGATCGGTGGTGGTAAAAAAAAGCCCCCCTCCCTCTCGAAGCGCGTTCAGAAGCTGTCCATGGCCTGCCTGCCAGGGTGCCTGGCTGGGATCTCCAGCGTTCCGAAAGCTGAGTAACAAGACGGCGTGGTGTAAAACTGGACGGGGGGCAGCCAAAGGCCGGGTTTGGGTTCATGGCTTAAGGATGACAAGGTGGGGGTGGGATCGGGGGAGGGAAGATGGGAAGGTTCTTTTAAAAAGGATGGGTTTCGCGTGCCAAATTCTTCAGCAAAAGGTTAACGTCTAAATGATTCTGCCAATAATTTAAAAATAAATATTTTCAAAAGCCTTTCTTTAAAAAAAAAGTTGACGTAAAGAGATGATAGCTTCTCTCCCCCCCTCCCCGCCATAAATCTTTGCAAGTATATAACAGGACAGCCATACAAATCTATCAGTCCATGTCCTTTAAGTGCTTCCCTGTGAGCCAACTGTGCTTCCCATGTGGATTCTTCCCGGAGAGATCCAGTTTTCCTCGACCAATGTTTCTTAACCTTAGCAACTTTAAGACAAGGAGGACTCCAACTCCCAGAATTCCTCAGCTAGCACTGCTGGCAGGGGAATTCTGGGAGTTGAAGTCCATTTGTCTTAAAGTTGCTAAGGCTGAGAAACACTGCCCTCGATGACTCTCCCCTTTGGAGCTATGAGATGCCCCCTGCCTCCTCCCTCCTCCTCCTCCTCCTGGGCTTTCCGAGAGGGAGGTGCCCTCATTTCCAGCCTTGGGGAAGAGAAGAAAGCTGCTCTGCTCTCCCAGAGCTTCAGATTTCCAACACCCACCAAGAAAACTTAGTGTTAGTGATCTCATCGCCATTACCGCCACCAGGCAAAGATTGAGAAATTACGGGTAGGTGGAGGTTAAGCCTGGGGAAGGGAACCAAGACTCCATTTGGAAGCAGTAGTCAGGGAAAAGGAAAAAGAAAATAACCTCTCTCTCTCTCTCTGTCTTGCACACACCCACTCAGCCTGAAAATTTTGGATTAAGTAAATGAAAAGCTTCTGCGCCAGCCACTGCGCTGACCTCCCGGGGACAGAGGCGCAGGGGCCGTCCAGCCAGGGAGCAAGCCCGCTTCTCTTCCACACCCCCCCCCGCCTTTTGTCCGACAATCACGTCCGAAGGCCTGGCAGGCTTCACCCAACCTCTGCCTCGGTGGCTCAGGGTGCCCAATATGGGTCACCTGCAGGGTCTGCGGGCCGAGATCACACCTCTGCGACCTCTGTTGCCAAGTACAAAAGGGAAGATGGGATAAAACAAGGCCGAAAGAATAAGCAGAACGAAAACAGGGAGGAAAAAATTTCTGAAAAAGCAAAAGGGGACAAGTTGGCCGATTCACAGAGTTTTCTGTCTCCAGCAAATTAGCAGCGATGCTAGGCCAAATTGGGAGCCACCGACGGGACCTTTGGGAACCAAAATAATCGGAGCCAAACTCAACCTTTCCTCCCCCTCGTACGACTTGGCTTTGCCTGTTGTCCCCGAAGGATCTGCCCCCGTTCCATCACAACCGTTTTGGGGAAGATCCTGGACAAGGCATCTGCAGGCTGACCAGACACCCTGGAGTGGGGAAAAGCACGGAAGGAAAGGAGGTTTGGCTCCCTAGGCACACACTTTGCTCGCAGGGGCTCAGGTGGAGCATTCTTCTGGGCTCGGTCAGAAGCAGAAGAAGCCCAGGCACTCGTCTTTGCTGCACTGGAAACTGGGGCTGCGGATGCCCCTCCTCCTACAAAGCCTATTGGTCCAAGCTCTCACAACAAGGGATTAGGATGGATGATGGATACACTCAGTTTCAAACAATGAAATCTAAGGTGTGCTGGTTCTCCTTTGATGACACAGTTTCAAACAACAACAACAAAATAGAACCTAGAATCTCAAATAACAAAAAAAAAAGAGAAGAAGAAATAGTAGAAGAAGAGAAAACCAATGAAACTAAACGGAAGGAGAGTTTTAAAAAAACAAAAAATAACAACCAACCAGCCCAAATCTCTTGCCAAGGGATCCCAGCAGACAATTCCAAGAAAGGCTAGGAAGAAAAAAAAAGAAGTAAGAACTGTATGAAACTGTAGGTTCTCTCCCCCTCCCTCCTCCCCTCCCTCCAATGAAATAAAAAATAAAACAAGGCACAGAATTTTCTGTAAATGATGGAACTAAACTAAATCCAAGCCGAACTTGGCCAGAGAATTAACAACCCAATGATACAGAAGTGTCACACAGCAGAGTGTACTTTACAAAGAACACTTTTTACGTTGGGACTCCTCAACTCCCACACATTTTGCCAGCCATAAATTTAGAAAAGAAAAAGAAAGAAAGAAAGAAAGAAAGAAA